AGTAGAACTGTGCTCCATAAGGTCTTGAGTGGCTAATATTTCAGAAGTAGATCACCGGGCCTTTTTTCCAAGATACCTCTGGGCAGGTCTTCGTACTGGTTTGAAACGGTTCAGTCATGGCTGATAGAAACAAAGGCAGTGTATGTGTTGCACAGCAACCAAATCTCCTGCACACTGGATTTTCTCCCAAGTAGGAAACAGGCAGCAGTGCCCCACTCAAAGATGGTGGCTAACCAACGCAGATAACAGCTGAGTGTGTTAACTGTTGTACTGCCCAGGGACTCAGATAGTATTGAGGTAACAACAAATAAATCTAAGTTGTTGGGGAGACACAACAGTTGATTTCTCACAACTTTTCATATTTATTTTATACTACCTTGATGAATAACCTGTCTTAAGTAATAAGTCAGTGTTCCTAAAAAGGTGGGTACAGACGTGACATTTATTTGAGGCATAATTTGTCATTAAATTGTGTTATTATTCAAAGGTGCTTTAGAATCCTTTAAGACCAATAGGTGATGTTCCCTAAAATTTTACCTTTATGAGATTCCAGCTAATGTCTCCCCACTCTTAATCACTGAGTATTTATTGTTCTATAATAGTTTAACACCCTTTTTTTTTTGAAATTATTTGGGAGAATATTTTAGTGAACACCTTTGTACTGGTTAATAAGGCTAAACTTTTGCAACCTATAGAATCTTGCCACAAGAATTAGATTCATATCAATCAGTTTATATACAACTAGTACTTTACTCCTGAAATTAATGGAACACTTTATTTTTTGGAATCCTCTATAATGGGAGTCAGTAAACTTTTCTGAGAATGGCCAGATAGTAAATATTTCAGGCTTTGCAGACCAAGAGACAACTGAGGATTTTGTGCAGGTATTTATATAACGAGAGGGAAAACAAATTTCTATTATTTTTTGTAATGTAGATCTATTAATGAGCAGAATGCAATATACTTATGGCCACTGGAATACAAATTCTATATCATTTTCATGTGTTATAAAATATATATTATTTTTCTTTTATTTTTTTAACCTTTTAATAAATACAAAAAAACATTCTTATGTTGTTGGTTTTTCTAAAACAGGCAGTGAGCTGAATTTGTCCCATGTAGTTTTCCAACCCTTGCCCTAGAACATGGCTTCTTAACCCGTCGTCCTTAAACCTGCACCAACCAGACGTGAGTTTTATGGGGCCTTTGAATAGCATGGAATCATTGACAAGGGTTTGTGCACACATGATTTTTTTCTGTGGACAAGGTGTACATGTTTCATATGACTGTCAGAAATGTCCAAGAGTCAATAAAAAAGAGTAAGAATCACTGTTCTAAAGACATTTTTGGTAATTTTAGGAGACATTTCTTGAGTGCCTGCTAGTACCCAGGTATCAGTCACTGGGAACTCATGGAAATTTTGACCACAGACTCTGAGTAAAAATCCTTTTCAGTTTTCTCCACCATTAGAGTTGCTTATGCAAGACACAGAGAAAAATGAACAGCCATGCCTTTGGTTTTAGAAGTAAAAGCTTTACCCATAGTTTCAAGTATTTTGTGAATAATTTAGGTTCAGTTAAATGTCTGGAAGATACTTTAGTGTCCAGACCAGTTCAGGCCATAAATAGAATCAGATTCAACCCATTAGGGACCTTTCTCTTGAAAGTAAAAATTGCCCCATGGTTAGGTTCATGTTCTTTTCGGTAGGTGCTGTAGAGTCATTCCGGACTCACAGAGACCCTGTTTACAACAGAAGGAAACAATGCCAGGTCCTGCACCATCCTCAAAATCGTGGCTTTTTGCTTGAGCCCATTGCTCATATTAGTTAGCTTCATGGTAGTGCTACCAAAACGAAGTGCTGCAAAATAGGTACTGGCAGGATTAAAATTGCTTATTAAAGCTGAATATGTAAGCTTGCAGGCTGCTTGACGTGGCTGTTAGCCAAAGCTAAGGCCTTGAATGTTCAAATTCATGAAATAGAGGAGTTGCCCTGGGGCAGAAGCGGTGGAGAGAAAACAGTAATGGCCACTGGAGTTCCTGCCTATGCTCCAGGGTGGGGAAGGGAAGAACTTTCTTCTTCTCAATGAACAGTGTTATAAAATGAAATTTATACTGAAAAAGAAAATGGTAGTGAAAGCTACAATACTCATCTTAAAACCTAAGATGGTACGGTATAGTTAGTAGTAAAATCTTAAAAAAATTTAAGCACTCTCAACAATCTCCTCGCATTTTTTATGTTGTTGTGAGTTGCTTTCGAGTTAATTCCAACTCATAGTGACACCATAGGACAGAGTAGAAGTGCGCCATAGGGTTTCCAGGGCTGTAATCTTTACAGGAGCAGATTTACCACATCTATCTCCATAGAGCAGCTGGTGGGTTCAAACCTCCGACCTTTCCGTTAGCAGCAGAGTGCTAACCATTGTGCAACCAAGGCTTAGCTTACATTTTTTTAAAATAGATTGTTAATTAGTTTATAGGTTTTCTCATGTAATTGGAGCATACAACAACAGATTAAAATATATTGACAGCATATAATAACAGAGGAAAATATATTCCATAGACAGCAGAAGTTCACCAGGAAAATTTCCCTGGTCAATCACCCCAAAAAAAGAAGGGCAAAATTATGGAACAGTAGCACTACTGTGGAGTCCCTGAGTAGTGCAATTAATACTCAGTTACTAACTGGAAGGTTGATGGTTTGAATCTACCCAGAGATGCCTCGGAAGGCAGGCCTGGAGACGTACTTGTGGAAGATCAGAGCTTTCGAAATCCCTGGGGGGGCACAGTTCCACTCGGAAAAGAGGGTCGCCTTGGGTCAGGATCTGCTGGGCAGAAACTGGCTTGGTGTTTGGTTTGGAACTACTATAAACAGAAAGCGTTGCTCATACATACATGAGGCTTAAATGTTAGTAATTGGTGACTATTGATTATGATGAACAACTTCTTTTATAATCTGAAAAATCCTCACATTATCAAGGCTTTCTTTTACTTCAGGGGTTTAGAGATTTAATAATGATCTTTCTCGGTTCTATAAAAGGCAAAATCAAAAAGCATCAGGAGAATGAGACGGTGACTTCAGTGAGAAATTTACTGTCATGATTATAGCACCTAGTGTTGCCCCCTTGCCTCTTAAGTCTCTTGGCCACCATGCCTTCTCTACCTACCTTAGTGAGTCTTACCAGTTCTAGATTTTTCCTTTAGGACCAGAGTCTTTCTGTCCTTCCCAATGTACCAATTAGCTAATTTGACAAACTCCCCTAAACTAGTGTGCTCATTAGAGTACTAGAGGGCCTTTTCTCTCCAAGTAGATTGTAGTTTATAACAGGAACTTCCTGTGCTGGTGAGAGTATCACGTCAGACGGGGGGATATTGCCCCTCACCTCATACCCTAAAGCCTCCTGTTTGACTGTATTTAGAGCTATTCCTGTGAATGTGATTAAGCAGAAGGAGTGGGCCCAGCTTGGCAAGGCAACAGATTCATTTTATTTCTCGTGAAAGAAATAACAAGAAAACAAGAAAGATCACATACTATTAGTATTACACAGTCAGACGGCACCAGCTACGCAGCAATGCACTAACCGCCTTATAGAGTCACTATTTGAAATGTTCTGCATTTCATCACAATTTGCTCTGAATGTTTTAACTTGTTGGAATTTATTTTTTAAATTTATCAGTAATTATATCAGTCATTCATTAAGTATTGGGTACTAGAGGGGAGACAAGAGAAGTATCAAAGGAATTATAAGTGTGTGTAAAGCGTTTTGCTGCTGACCAAAAAGGTCAGCTGTTGGAACCCACCAGCCGCTCCTCTGTGGGAGAACGATGAGACAGTCTGCTTCTGGGAAGATTTGCAACCTCAGAAACTCTATGGAGTAGTTCTACTCTGTCCTATAGGGTCACTATGAATCGGAATCAACTTGACGGCAGTGAATTTGCGTTTTATTGTTTGGTTTGGTTGCGTTTTTTAAGAAGAAAAGATGCCCACACATGGAACAAACTGGAAAACAGCACAGTTAAGTGATAAATTATGCAGTTACAGATAATAAAGGGAATACATATATCAAACTCTTCGAGACCAGGACCTTGAGAAATAGAGAAGCCAGTAATAACCTTTTGCATTTCTAAGGCTTTTCTTCTTAAGTTGTGCTCTAGTTTATGTTCCTTATAATCCTGTTATCTTATCTCTTCCTGCCTAGAAGGGATCCTTATAGCATTTCGGGGGCCTCCCTTTGAACTGTGGGTATCATCTGGCTCTCTAGATAAAGGCAAGTCAGATTAGTTAGTGAAACAGGACCTCTCATTAAAATAATAATAATAATAATAATAATAATAATAAATGTAAGTATAACAACCATAATGATCTAATTGTAAGTAGATCGCAAGAAATCATGAAGTACTCTTTTTTTTTTTCAAATTCCTTTCTTCCTCAACTCCTTGCTGTGCACCATAATTGGCGGTGGGCCAAGATGAGAAGCAAGGCCAGTGTTTGGCAGGGCGGATGAGAAATGTGGTTGGGCAGGCAGCCTTAGGGCCTTGTAGTACTGATAAGCGAAAGGAGGGAGGAAGTTGGAAGGAAGGGGTCTTTCCAAGACTCCCTCAAGTCTGCCTGCAAAGGCCATGCCTGTCAAGGAGACATAGGGCATTTCCCCTTTGTGTGATATTGCTGGTGACATGGTTTTGAGACGGAAAGAAAAAAAGGCACAAGAGAAAACACATTTGGAACAGTCTTCATCAATGAGATGTCATTTGACTAAGGCATGACCTTAAAAATGATGTGGCTTGTTTTATCAGTTTACCAATAAATGTGGCACTTAAAAACACCTTGTTTTAAAATCAGCTCCAATGTGGTCATTAGTATGAGGCTAAAGATTAATCAGAAGAAACAATATCACTTTTTAGCTGGCTTAGGTTTTTCTGGAAGAAGGCTGGCTGCCTTGGATAATAATGGGATGAATTTACTTACCTGTAACAATTTCTCTCCCTCTCTTTTAAACATGCAGAATTCCTTTCCTGTGACTCCATCAGTTCCAGCTAATCCTGCCATGGCTTTCAATCCTTACTTACCTCATCCTGGGATGGGCCTGTTTCCTGCCGAACTGGTACCAAATGCACCTGTTCTGTTTTCTGGAAACCCACCTGTCGCGTTACCAGGAGCTGCTGCTCCAAAGCCGATGCGCTCTGATAAACTGGAGGTATTTGTGTAGAAATATGTAAATACATAGAGAACCTTCACAAATATTAACCTTATGCATAAGCCATCATTCTCAGAGACCGATGTTTTGAATGTTTTCAATAAGTGCACATGGATTTTAGTTTATGAAGTAGAATCTCAGACAAATGTCAAACAGTTTACTAGTGCAACTATGCATTGCTTCAGTTGTCCAGTAGGTCATCCAATGTCTAGGTGTACCCAGCCATAGACTGTATCTCTTATGCTATGGTACAGGAAGTTTGGGTGGGAATGCTCCTTGTACCCAGGTTTCAGTTTGTCAGCATGGGATGGCTATTTTTGTTCACAAGTCTCTCTTAGTTGCTGGAATAATCAAACTGAACAAAAGTAGACTCATCTAACTCTGTATGAAAGTGGAATGTAAATCTATATGAATGCAGAATGTGTGAGCCTTGTAGTGTCTAAATCCTTTTCCTCATTTTAAGACAGATGTACTGGACAATAAGTATCCCTTGATTTCTAAGAAAAGAAACTCTAAATAAAATTTCAAATAGCTTTTTGCTTTATTGAAGTCCTTCAGCCTTCCCTTAATCATCGTTCTTCACAAATTGAAATAAATAACTGGGCAATTTCTTACAAAGTCGGCTCCATTGGCAGTCCCTTGAATACATGGTAATGTATCATAATGGAATCTAAATGTACGTGTAACTCAGTCATGGTCCACAGGTCTGCTGTGTAAAACCATCAGTGCACGGCTGTGTGATAAAGACGCATCTCAGACCTTAAAAAATAAGCCCTGCTGCAAATTTAGCTAATCACGCTTTTAGGCTGTGTATTAAATGGAGGATTTTTTTTTTAATGGTTTTCAATATCTCTTAAGCACTTTTATTTGAATGTCAGAAAAACAGACCACTTTCTTTTGGGGAGAGTGGACTTTTTTTTTTTTTTTTTTTTTTATCGCTAAGAATAGAAATTCATAGCAAATATGGCTTTACATTATCCTTCATCTTTTGAGATTTTTCCTAAATAAATTGACAAAATAATAGATACCATTACTGTTACATTCACTGGCAAAATAAATAAAAGCCATCAATGTGGTGTTACTATTTCCTTTTTCTTCTTTAAGGTCTGCCGAGAATTTCAGCGTGGAAACTGTACCCGTGGTGAGAATGATTGCCGCTATGCTCACCCCACTAATGTGTCCATGATTGATGCAAGTGATAATACCGTGACGATCTGCATGGATTACATCAAAGGGCGATGCTCCCGGGAGAAATGCAAGTACTTTCATCCTCCCGCACACCTGCAAGCCAAACTCAGGGCCACTCATCACCAGATGAACCACTCAGCTGCCGCCACGATGGTAAGGACAGATCCAACTGGTGGGTCTTTTTTTTGGAGTAATTATTAGTACCTTCCCATACTTGTCTGATATCCTGTAACCATCATCATGGACATTCATGAAGGAGCCTTAACATGAACAGTCAAGTTTACAAGCTAGAAAAAGAATAATCGATCAATTTGACTTAAAAAAAAAAAAAAAAAAACCTAAGATTTTCTAGTTAATTAGTTAAAAGCTGTGCTGCTGATTTTAACCTAGTGTTCTCTTTTTCCCATTTTAAGAAAGTAAACGATATGATCTAAAGAGTCCATTATTTTCGAATGGTTTTATCGTCTAACTGTCCTCAGTATCCAAGCATAGAGAGGATTGTGAAGGTGGTGCAGGGCCGTGCATTGTTTCGTTCCGTTGCTATGAGCTGGAGCCAACTCCAGAGTACCTGACAACAACCACCACCTCAGTGTCCAGAAGAGGCAGAAAACTGCTTCTTGGCTCTGTGAGCTACCCTCATGGGCACTTGGCTAGTAACATCCTTAATGCATTTCAAAACCTGGGACTTGAAAGATGGGGTGTTAAGTAGGTTCTGATTTCCCATAAGCTGACATTCTTTCCTTTCTGTAGGGGTGGTGGTTTCAAGGACAAAGGCAGCAGCCTGCCAATGTATGTGTGCAGGGGGGATAGGGGATAAAAATTTCTGCCTGGTTGGGAGAAGAGAGCTCAGTTGCCCAGCAAGGCAGCTTTGGGGGAATGTTAAGTTCTACTTAACACTGTAGAGTGTTAAGTGTAGGGAAAATATTTTTGTAACACTACAATGCAATAGGTTGATAAATAATAATTACAATTACTTAATCATTTGTCCCAGCTGTCATTTACTGTGATATGCTGCTCTGTATTTTTTTCTTCTACTACCTGGGCCTTCCCTCATGTACTATGGAGGAATAACCTCAAATAAGGAACAAAATTTTGAGGAAATCTCATGTTCCTTGGCTCCGGGAAAAGAGCCTACAATCCCTGGAAGCCCAAGAAATGCTGTGTTGAACTAAATCTCTTCACAACCATTTATAGTTCCAAGTCTCATGACAGAGACCTTACCCTTCTACAAGAGAGATACTTTTATTTTCAAGTGTCCCTACTTGTTAAGAAGATTTTCCTCATGCTAAATTGAATTCTATCTTGCTGTAACTGGAACTTCATAAAATACATCAATCCTTGTTCCATATGAGAGTGACTCTCCTGTCCTATCCAACGGCCAAATATCACAAATCTCTCCAACCATTTTTGGACTTGCTATGCTTTCTCAACAGCCTTTGCTTTCTCAGAACGGACCCCATTACTTCAGGAAGAATCTGAGCACCAAAGTAGAACAGACTTAGGAGCTCTGGTGGCATAGTGCCTAAGGCACTTGACTGCTAACCAGAAGGCTAGCAGTTCAAACCCACCAGCCACTCCTTGGAAGGAAGGTTGGGCAATCTACTTCTGTGGTGATACTACCTTGGAAACCCAAGGAGGGGTCGCTATGAGTCAGATCTGACTCGAAGACAGTGAGTTTGGTTTTATTATTATTATTATTGACTCGAAGACAGTGAGTTTGGTTTTATTATTATCATCATCTCCCTTGTTCTGAATGACATACATTTGTTCATGACTCTTGGATTCTTTTCTCAATCCAGAGAATGAAAAATGTAAAATAAAATAAAAAAGATTTCACCACATTTTTTTGTCTCTTAAATTGTTTTGATTGGGAGAATTTTAAGCTATGAGAAAAAAAAGGTGTCTAGAATATATATTTTGTGCAGAATTAAAGCCTCTGATTTTTTTGTTAAGTCAAAGGCATAGAGTTCAGATCAGTGTGTATTTAGTAATGAAGCAGAATGCAGTTGGCCCCATAAACATAAAGGTTCTCATCCACATGGAATGTAAAATAAATGGCTTCCTTGTGCCATTGTGTACCCGTACCCATGCTCAGTCAGGGAGCCTTCATATGTGTGGGCCCATTTCTGAGGATTTGGGAACATTTGGTAGGACATATATGTTACAAGTCAGCACCAAGTTTCCATTTAGAGAGCTAAATGTTAGGTGGTAGGCTTTTGGTTGGTACTTGTGACTGTCAATATAAGATTTCTTTCTGAGGAACTGATCAAAGTAGGTTCTTAGTGGTAACGAATTTGAGGTAAAATTAAGCAAAGGAGACTAAGGAGTAGCTATTTACTTCATCCACAGTCATTGGCAAGTTTGTGAATTTGTAATGATGCTGCTGAAGCTCTTCCAGTGTTAATAAGCAAAATATTAGTAATCACACAGGCACCACCCAGTCAGAACTGGGCACTGAGCTATTAGAACGGATGCCAGAATAAACAAAGAGAACTACCTTACCAGGGTCTAACAGTTGGATATCCATCTAGACCCTGCCTCAGCTGGTACTTTGCTTGTCAGCACACCTTTGGTTCTGATGATAAAACTATCTATGTTCCTATCTAGAGAAAGGGAACACTTTCACTTCGCTAATACCAACCGAAAAAAGAAAAAAAAGAACCTAAACTCACTGCTGTTGAGTTGGATCTGACTCATAGCAACCCCTCCTTGGGTTTCCAAGGTGGTATCACTACAAAAGTAGATTGCCCAATCTTCCTTCTGAGGAGTGGCTGGTGAATTTGAACTGCCAGCCTTCTGGTTAGCAGTCAAATGCCTTAGGGACTATGCCACCAGAGCTCTCTCCTCACTAATACCAAAGGGAACTCTTTTTAATAGCCTGATACACAGTCTCTTATCTTGGTCAGTTAAAATCTTAGGCAAATCTGTTCTCCCTCAATGGTGATAAAGGTGTTAGAAATTATAAATTACATTTTACAATTTATAGTTTTAGTCATCGCAGCCTTTGCCATCTGGGTCTCATTTATAAATTTGGAAATTTTGTATCTTTAAAGGTCGGGCTTACTAATGTATCGGGTCTCAGAGAAAAAGGGGAAGACCTTCAACAAAACAGTGGCTGCAACGATGGGTTCGAGCACAGCAATGATTGTAAGGATGGTGCAGGACTGGGCAGTGTTTCATTGTGTTGTATGTTGGGTGGCTATGAGGCAGAAGCAACTCGAAGGCACCTAACAACAACAACAAAGCTCACTTGGTTTGCTTGGTTGCACTTTTCTACCATTCTTGTCTTAATTTAGGAGAAATATAAAGCAGATCTGTCCCTCCGTGTTCACTGACAGAGTTCCCAGAGGAAAATAGAGATGAGATACCTTTGGGCCTTTGTTATCCACAGGAATAAGGAGATCTCGGCTTGCCACTTTGGGGCATATGGAAGGCTTGTTACTCGGCACAGTTGTTCCTTAAAAATTTGATGCATACTGAATTGTGTTGCTGGGACATATTTTTTAAGTAATGTGTAATTTGGTGAGGAAAGAAAAAAAAGTAGTGTTTAACTTCTGCAATGAATCTGGTCCAGGGACAAGTTTGATTATTATAAGCACTGTGGGATTTTTGAAAGAACTGCATACATGAAAGGAAGATTAGGAAATGCTAATCAAATTAAACCTTACAAGGACTTAACAAAGCAAATTGTTCTTCCCAGAATGCACAACAAGCTTGTATAAATGAGAATGGCATACATTTTGCTAGTTATCTGTCATACCTGGATGGGGTGGGCGAAGGTGAGGAATGAGTCATTAGCTTTTTCCTTACATGTTGGTTTGGAAATATATGGTTCTAGGCTGTGAACCAGAAGTCCTTGTATGAATTGAATTTTGTCTTACAGGGCTATGGTATGAGACTGTGATTGACCAACATCTGTTTAATCACCTGTGTACTATGTATCTCTTAGACCCACATGCAGCATTTTAACTGGCAGGAATCTGTTTCCTGCTGTATCTGTTGCTTCTGCTAATCTCATTTTAATCGATTAATAGATGAGCATCCCTGAGATGTTAATATTAAATGACTATATACTGCAGCAGCTTTCTGCCACATCCTGCCCAAAGGAGGTGGTCCTTTTTTATTTGCCTTAATTAGTCAAGTTGCAAAGCTCTATTTGTCCTTCGTATTTTTATTTTCGGAGGTTTTATTTGCTCTGTTTTGGACTAATAACTCATCTAGTGAACCGTTTAATCTCTGCATCTGTTACCTGGCTGTGGCAGCCACTGCTTATTGAACGTCTTGCTCAAATGGAAACCCTTGCAGGTGGCCATTCATTATGTACCTGGTGCTTGCTCGGCTTGAGTACATTTTTCACTTTCTTTGTTACTGTCTTTGAACCCATCCCTCCCCCACAGACCGTACAGCCTGGTGCACTTCAACTGATGCCAAAGAGACCGGCACTTGAAAAGAACAATGGTGCCCCTCCAGTCTTTAATCCCAGTGTTTTCCACTGCCAACAGGCTATGGCTAACCTGCAGCTCCCGCAGCCGGCGTTTATCCCTGCAGGTGAGAACAGGGCTCTGGGCACTGTGAGTTTAGTGATTTTGTGAATGTATGCAAGTTACTTGTCTGCTTAACTAGCTAGTCATGTAAGCTGCTTCTAGAGAACTTTTATGAGAAGACTGTCAACATGTATTTTGATGAGAAATAACACAAGGAAGTTGATCTGCTAGTATATAGAACAACTTCCTTTACTATGATTCCTGGAAATGCGTGGTTGGAAATCAAACTAGGAAAAGGGGTCATTATTTTGCATTTTGAACATTTCTGATTTTTTCCTTCTTGTGATTGATTCACTTGGTTCTGTCTCAAACTAATTCCTTGACTCTTAGGTATCACTGTTAAAGACAATGGTCTGCCATCAAAGATTGCTTTCCAGTTTCAGCACTGCAAAAATATGTAGCCTATATATCTTTGATACACCAAAAGCAGTTATAATCAAACTGCCCTTAAATGTGCTTGGGTGGCACAAGTGGTTTGGGATTGACTGCTAACTCAAAGGTTGGTGGTGTGAACCCACCCAGTGGCACCATGGAAGAAGGGCCCAGCAATCTGCTTCTGTGGAGAACACAGCCAAGAAAATCCTATGGCAGTTCTACCCTGGAACATGGGCCGCCATGAGTCAGGCGCCAAGTTAATGGCAGCTAACAACAGCATAGTATGATACAGGACAGTGTTGGCTGTAAAACAAGTCATTTCAGCCTCGAATTCTTAAACCACTTAATATCAGAAATATATAATTCATTATATTTTCTTAATATTTTGTAGCATATGTAGTGCCTAAGGCACTTGACTGCTAACCAGAAGGCTGGGGGTTCAAACCCACCAGCCACTCCTTGGAAGGAAGGCTGGGCAATCTACTTCTGTAGTGATACTGCCTCGGAAACCCAAGGAGGGGTCACTATGAGTCGGATTTGACTCGACGGCACATAACAACAACAACAACAACACGTTCAACTATATTTTATAACATAATAGTTTCGTACCATAATGTTCACCAAGAAATATGGGTTAAAGTGTTTTTATTTGCAGCACTTTTTTCTTTAGAAATGGCGTTAATTTACCTACTATTTAGATGACTCCACCTTGGTGACTTCCAGTTTGTCTTACAGCTATGGTATGAACTCAGTAGCCCAGGAAAGCTAACCAAGGTTGTTGAATGTGATTATGTGTAAAACTTACGTTATTCATTCTGGGTTTCCTCAACTGTATAGTCACTTTGTTTAGAAGTTATATCATATTTTTCATTTATTTATTTATTTTGCTAGATTGACCTAGTTAAAGTCTAGATTTATAAGCAAAAATGTCAGATGAGTTCCATTCGTCTTAATTAATGGCAAGATAAAAACGTGTCTGGCTAAGATCCCCCTCTAAATGAAAAGTCTATTTGCCATATGTTCATAGTCAAGACCTTGGTTACAGCAAAGTAGGGGAAGCAGTGTTAATAGATTAATGCCCTAAATAAAAATGTTGGCACCAAATACCAGACCTTGTTGTATATTTTGAAAATAGTATGGGTAACAAATGAAAAATTTTCCCTCTCTGGATAAAAATCACTGAAGATGTATTGATCCAAAATAAATATGTAATGTTGGCATGGTAGTTCCTTTGAAGAAATATTGAAGATAATTTTTGAACCTAAGAATCCAAGAATTACTTTGCCTACCTGGGTATGTGATCTGAAAGCTAAACTGTAATCATAAGCATAGGAGATGACTCGGTTTGCACGTGCTGGTTACTTAATATTGCAAATAATATATCTTTCTAGTTAAAATATTCTTTCTATCAGTAAAGCTTTAATAATGAAATATCTCTTTTCTTTACTTTCCATGCTTTTCTGCATGATGTACAGGGTCAATACTGTGCATGGCACCCACTTCAAGTATTGGTAGGTTTTTCAAGACAGATTCTCAACTTTTTCTAATCTGGAAAAAAAAGTGTTTCTGCTGTAACTGAATGAACAATGTGGCTGCACGTTTGTTGATTCTTTCGGGTTTAATATCGCGCTGCTTCAGTCCTTTGTGGAATCAGAATAGTCCCACCTTCTGTGCTTTGTTAATTGTCACTGTGGCCAAGTACTGACTCTGCTGTTTCTTTATTTCTTCCCTGAAAATGGCAACTTAAATACTTTGAAACACTTCCTTGCCAAGCCAAACCGAGAAATTATGTTCTTAGATTTATAGCTGTTATTTAAAAATTAGGAAATGTTTCAGATTTATAATTTGTAAAGTACAATGAAAACAATTCCTTTCCAAGAAGTTTATCCATAAGACCATTCAATACTCAGATGGTGAAGAAGGAAGAATTGAGCAAAGCTAGAGAATTCTATAATTTTCTGTGAGCCTACAACATAGCAGCTTTCTGCACAGAAAGCAGGCATAACAGAGTTTCAAAATGACTCTTTTGGGAGTTATGTGGTTTTTTAACAACCAGTCCCATTCAGATTTTTTAATTAGGCACCAGTCCAATATGGTAGCCATGTCTAAGCTCTTTTCTACATCACTAATACTGAAGATGAGAGAGTGACTGCTTCCCTTTCAAGAGAACTCTTGGGGAATTCGCAGCTCCTATAGATCTCATAGGAGCTCTAGAAGCATCGTGCCTAAGGCACTTGACTGCTAACCAGAAGGCTAGCAGTTCAAACCCACCAGCCACTCCTCGGAAGGAAGGTTGGGCAATTCTACTTCCGTAGTGATACAGCCTCAGAAACCCAAGGAGGGGTCTTTATGAGTCAGATCCAACTCAACGGCACATAAGAACACCAACAACATAGTTCTCATGGTCACAAGGAACAGACCAGGAGATAATAGCTCTGATGTTCATACAGGAAAGAATGACTCCATCCATCCCAACCATCATATTTCAATCCAGTTTCCCTATCCTTTTTGCAAGTTTGAAGTAGTCCAACCTCCGTCCCATAGATGAGCCAGATGGTAGATGCAGATCCAAACAGAGACTAACACCCTTATTGGGACAAAATGAGAAGTCAAAATGACCAACCACATGATAGTAATACTCACTAACATAGCAGGAGCTGAACTTTGGCAATGGAGGTGAAGCCTCTGTTACCAACGGCGGATTGGCAATCACTTGCCCAAATTAATAGCATTTCCATGGCTACTAACAGGAGCATTACATATATGCATATAATTAGAAGAACAGACTTTGGCAAGCTTGTGAAATGTGTCTCTTTTCCTACTTTGTGGCTTTTTTTCCTCCAGGATGTTCCCCTGTCCTTTTACCTTTAGTGCTGTGCTTAGGAATGCAATCTATATGCTTCAGTAGTGCTGCTTCCTGTCCAATTGCTGTATTCTTAAAGGAAAAACAGAAGTGTTTCTATAATTGGCATGTGAGACAATAAGGGATGGCTCTAGGCAATGGTCCTTGGAAGGAAGGTTGGGCAATCTCCTTCCGCAGTGATACCACCTCGGAAACCCAAAGAGGGGTCGCTAGGAGTCGGGTCCAACTTGACGGCACATAACAACAACCACATAGGCAATGGATGAGTAGAGCACAAAGGTATAACTACAGAGTTTCTGGTGACCACCATTTGAGGTACAGTTTTGGTTCTATACCATTACATATGTTGATTTTCCTCTCTAGTCCATTTACTTTCTCTGTAGACTTCAGAAAATATGAATTCAGTTGATGCATACTTGCCATTCACACATTAATTTCTTGGTTTGCTTTCCAAAGTGAACTAGAAACTAGGAAAGCTAGAAAATAGAAAACATCCTGAAAGAGATGTTGCAGCTACTAGTTGTGGTATTTGCTGGGAAGACAAAATTTTGTTGGCTATTTATGAACTCATTCTTGTATGTGATTGATAAATAGCCAAAGTTTCCAAGGGGTTTGCCAGAAAGGTGCTTAAAAACCTGCATGCATAGTCCACTTACTCTTAACTCTCTACTCCCCCTACCACATACCCACCAATCTAACTACTGTTTTTTTGCATGCAGAACAGGTGAGTATTCACTTAACTATCCCTTTGCATCTGCAAATCTAGTGAGAGCCCTCATGTCCACAAGTCAATGAATGCAAACACCAGTTCACAATGTAACTGCCAGACTAATTCCAGTTTGAAAATACAACACAGTTATTTATCTGCTTTACTAGCTATTTAATATAGATAGCCTTGGTAAAATCATATTTTTTAAATATATGCACCTATTATAATTCCTTAAGAAAATTTGGCCTTTTGTTTATCATGGAGATTAGATAGCTAGATGGCTAGATAGATAGAGAGAGAGAGAGAGAGAATCACAACATTTGCCAATTCACCATGTTTTTTTACATGAACAATTCAGTGGCACTAATTACATCAATCATATTTTGCAACCATCACCAGAATCCATTGCCAAATTTTCCATCACTATTAACTGATGTTCACTGCTTCCTTATCCCCCTCCCTCACACTTACCCCTAGTAACAGTGGATAAACTTTGGTTTCAATACATTTGACTATTCTAGATATTTCATGTAAGTGGGGTCCTAAAATATTTATCCTTTTGTGATTGAATTACTTCACTCAGCATACTACTTTCAAGGTTCATCCATGCTGTAGCACTGAGTCAACTACATTATTATTCTGCTCAAAAACTTACTAAATGTTGAGAATGATTTTGTTTTCATTAACGGTAACTATAATGGGCTTTTTCCCTTTTCTCTTTTTAAATTCCTCCCTGTTCCATGTTGTATTGCTTTGCACTGACTGTGATTGCATGTTGCACCCTGGTGTACCCATCATGATGATGTCACGTGCCTTGTTGCTGTGATACCTACTATGCCCCATTCGATCGTATATGTCATGATTGCATAAATGCTCCACCCTTCCGTGTATTCTTCTGTGGTTTTCTACTCAAAGTGCCCATGATGCACGGTGCTACACCTACCACTGTGTCTGCAGCAACAACACCTGCCACCAGCATCCACTACGCTGCAACAACCACGGGCAATCAGGTTTGGCCGTTTATTTCACTTGTTCAGACCTAGATAACTACAGTGTGTGTAAGGCACAGTATATGCTTTGTGGATTGGTGCAAGACATTGGTGACATTGGTTCATATTCTTACGTGTTTCTTAAGCAGTTGCCACATTTAAAAGTTTTATTTTGTGTATATTCTAGAATGCTGTGTGTGAATCATTACTTATCTTGAGATTCATCAGCAGAATTTTACTAATTTCTAATCAGTTACCAGATGTTGTTCTTGGTATGCTATGCATACAATTGTTGCCGCCACACCAACCCTCAAACATATACACTAAATATGTCTTTAAATGCTTCCTTGTTGGTCAAGAGGAGAATTTGTTTTATTTTACCATGATTTTTGGTTATTGTGTTTGAAATTTCACTTAGCATAATCATCACCTTTGCCTTCAGATCCACTGGTAAGAAAGCAAGATATATTTCTTTCCAAGGCACAGAAGTCTTTGTCATTACCCAGTGATTACATCAGAAATTCCTTCACATACTGACATTAGACATGCTTGTGTTTCTGTTTTGTTGTTGTTGATGATGATTTTCATCTGCTTTAGGTATTTCCAGACAGTGTCACAATGCAAGTTACAAGTTTTGGTGGAATCTCGAAACTTTGAGGAGATACGTACAATTATTATTGCAGATGCATACAATAATTATTGTGTACTATTATGGCAATTTGTGCCTTACTGAAGTGGAAACCATGCTTGCAGACTGCATGGTCCACTGCTCTTTAATTTCAAGTATGATAGTCATGTATCATACAGAGCTTTAATTCATTGGAATGAACCACATTCTAATCTGTGTTTTGTAAAATTAACTCTTAGCAGAAATGGCTAATATGTCTAAATTTTTCTGTGAAATTGAGTGTGGTTATTGACTACCATGTCCAAGCAGTGAACCCAATAAGCCAAATTATATCAAGAAACTATTTTAATCTAAAATCTTTTTTACTACTGTAGATACCCCAATTATCAATAGATGAACTGAATAGCAGCATGTTTGTTTCACAGATGTAGAAGTTACCAGTAGAACAGTAAGTTTCTTTAAATATTAATAGAAATAATATTTGTGGGTCATATCTTTTATTTACATAATGACGTCTGACAAAAGACTGGTAAATATTTTCATTATTAGACACTGCTTTTAACTTTGAGCCTGATCTAAGCATTGTAAATTGTTCACATTGAAATGTGGAGAGAGCAAGTATGCAATTTTTATATGGAAATGACAGCTGGAATGGTATTTTCCCAATAAGCTTACAAATTCTGAAATGTTCTCCTGTTATTAAAGGGATATGGCTTACTAGTCAAAGGCCCAGATCACTTTGTTGTTGTTGTTGTTTCATGACACTGATTACAATCCCCACATAAGCACAGAGCACTTTTGAATTTGATTTCTTTAACATGTTTGTAGCTTCATTATTTTTTTTTTTTACTGAAATAAAGCAAAGTGATTTTGTCAGCATGTGACTGAGATGATTGTCTTAAAGAAAATAAGCAGCATGCTTCTCCTTATGACGTGATGAAAACAGTGCTTTTACAGTCTCCTGTTTGGGGTTTCTTCCCATGTAAGTCTATCAGAATAGTTCCAGATGTTTTGAGTTTTGAGTGACATAATTTAGTAATTTAACAATCATTATTTTCACTCGAATCGTATTTTTTATTTTTTTCTTGTTATTGGAGTTTTTTTCTCCTTCACCTTTGATCTTCTCTTTGCCTGGTACAGAGCCTATGGTAGCACACATTTAATTTGAACAATTGCTTGTTTGGAACATGTGGCTTTTGAAGCCACTTAAGGCTCCTAGGTATCTAATTAATGATAGGGACTTATTAAAGAAGCAGACCAATTCTGAATTGCACACATAGTTACTGAAAGGTTGAAATTCGCAGACCTGAGGCATTTCATTTGTTTGCAGGAGACATTAGTTCTGTTCTCCTGATGGACTAGTTCCTCAGAGCCCAGCTAGCACTTCTTTCTCTATTCGGGACTCACTGGCCTTGATCACCAACTGTTCTGGACATAGATAAATAGCTCCCCTCAGTCGTAACACTTGTTTCAAAAAGACACCTTTGGTTATGTGGAACACCTAAAGTAGCTTGGAATACTTTTCAGGGATGTCATTTGGAATATTTTTCAGGGATGTCATTTGGCATAGTGGCAACTTGAGACTAGCACCAAACATAAGAATGTAGGTGTTGCAAACACTTGTCCGATTCTCATGGGCTGCTTCACATCAAGGTCAGATATAATCAACTTTCCAATAGAACAAGTTTGGGCATAGTGATTTCTTTTTGCTTGATTCCACTTAAAAATTTTAGACATATTTGGCAGAACGTAATCACTTGAATATGTAACAGATGTTGAAAATTTCCCCAAAGTTCAAAAATGTAATTTTGCACAATACTAAATATAGGTAGCCCCCAACTTATGATGGGTCCCCATTCCGATAACTCTATTGTAAGTCAGTTCTGACATAAATCCAGTCTCATTTTTTAAAAAAATTTCACTATTTTTGCCTTTTATTAACAGTATCTTTATAAATCTAAACTTTACTTGTCTTTGGGAATTGGAAACATTACATATAAACTTACAGATATATTGTAATACTATATACATATATGCATAAAAATACACAAATCATTAAAAGAAATTTTAAAAAGGGTGATCATAAGTGCATTTCATCATAACTCAGATATGTTATAAGTTGGGGACTACCTATACTTGGATTTCACACACAAGCTATTTGTGCATGGCTCCAAAACATTCAGCTAAAAAGTTTAAAGTTCATCTCGTACTTGCATGTCTCAAAATGCTTGTTCTCAAACACGTTTTCTCAATGTACGCTTGTTGGAGGAAGTGGATGGATGGTGAATGTTCATCAAAATGTTTTGGCATTGTGTAGATAATCCCTTAAAACTATGGAGTGCATGTCTGCTAACTTAGGGGAATTCTCCACATTGGCACTCAGTGAGAACGATAGCTTGTCATAGACTAATGGCTCATTAGTGATCATTTCCAGTAGCCTCGTTTTTGCAGCTATAAAATCTGAAATTTCAGTGGGGAATATCTTGGCATATTTCGCACACAGAACTGGGATAAGAACCACAGTTACCCTGGCTCCTATTTCAATAACCTTTCCATTTTTCTCACTTTTTTTTTTTTTCCCATTTCAGTTGAAATTCTGAACAGCAGAGTTACAGTGTGTCGGAATCTCTCCGCGAGAAGCTCTATATGGCCTTTCTATACATATTCTCGTATGTCCTCTTCTACCAACTCAACAATAAGTGTGGTGCAGTCAATATATTAAGCAAAACGATTAAAATTAAAAAGCATTAAAATCAATGGAGATGTTAAAATATTAATAGAAAACTAACTACTATCTATCTTATTTGAGTATCAGCTAGAATATGCCTATTACATTTTGCAACTATTATGTTACCCTTGGTCATTTTCCAACAATCATTGTATTGAGTACATCTCCATAGTGGAATGTTGTTAGTTTACTGTACATTCTTGGTGGAAAAATGTCTTCTTTTGAAGTGTTACTGTTCTGTTTACATGATAGTCTGTTGGGTTGGTTTGGAATTTATCGAATGTATCCAATACCATTTTCCCCATTATTGTACTGAACTGTATTGTGTTAGGTTTTTACCTTCTATCTAGTGTGTTACTGAATATGTGTGGTATTTGATTTCAACTAAAATGCTCTTAGTGAGAAACAAACATGTGCTTGAAAAACATGACAGAACTAATGTTAATATGCTCACTCTCTCTTTAGGATATTTTTGTAGGTTTCTTGGGGCAGTCATTTAAAAGGCCTCACTTTCTAAGAGTGTACAAACCTGTTCACAAGCATATATGTATATAATTTGTACCTGCAGATCTGACTTTGTAACATAAGATCACATTATTAAAATTTGTTTTTTGCAAGAGAAATAATTACGTGCATAAAACAGGGAAATTCTTAACATTAGCCCCTAATTTCACTCCCATTAAATAGCTCCCTAGGAGCTCTGGTGGCATAGTGCCTAAGGCACTTGACTGCTAACCAGAAGGCTGGCAGTTCAAACCCACCAGCCACTCCTCAGAAGGAAGATGGGGCAATCTACTTTGGTAGTGATACTGCCTCGGAAACCCAAGGAGGGGTTGCTGTGAGTCAGGTCCGACTCGATGGCACATAACAACAACAACAACAGCAAATAGCTCCCTGATAAGCAAGAGTATACCTTTAAATCAATTCATCAACATTTATATTCAAATTATGTAAAGAGCCCATTACATTTGTGTGTGTGTGCGTGTGTGGCTCGATGATTCTATCTCCTTGGTTGAGTGTCTAAAACCCAGCCATTTGAAATCTTCAGCAGAGAAATTGGTACTTGGAAGCTCTAAAGGTATGCTAATTACAGGTTGTAAGTTAAACAGGGTAATAGGAGAATAGAGATGGTTTTACGTATTAGAGGAAAGTGTGTAAGACCATTACAGTGTAACCTTTTACACAGTGCCATTTTCTAAATGCAAATGGCTCATCCTTTTTAGACCACTCTTTGAAAAATAAGTAAGAGGCAATTGAGCAAAAGTCAGGGTGAAAAAGAATGTGTTCCAAATTAGGGCTTTCCTCCCCAAATGGACAGTCTTTGCTATTGATCATAGATGTAGCTTGAGTACAGGTTTGGAGAAATGGCCAAGAGAGATGAGGTGGAAAGGCATATGAAATGATTCTTTCATTTATTTAAAAGTCCTCAGAAGAATGACCGCAGTTTTCTTTAGCTTCAGTACAACTGAGTTTCCAGTTTCTGTAAAGCTATTGATGAAGGACCAAGTGCCTGTGACATATGGCAAGTGTAGACCTGCCCAATGTTTATTAGCATCAGAGTCTCCCGAGCATAACCAAACCTCTTTGTTTGTATTCATCTGTCTTTATATGTGTTTGAAAATTAGAATAGAGAGGCTTCTAGCACCCTTTGGATGAAACAGAGTGGCTACACTCCACAGAGCTGAGCTGAATTCACACTACTAATAGGTATGGAGTAATTTTACAACCAAGTAAGTATAGTAATTAACCAAAGCCTGTGGTATGTGGCGTACCTCCTGTACTTTACTCAGTTATTAAAGTTACTATTATTATAAAGTGGAAACATATTTTACAACAACATAGATAAATTTAATATTTTCTACTAAATATATATTCTCTCACTAGAAAGTGTAAAATCACCAAAGTTGATAGACAGGTTTGTTTTTCTCCTTCATAAAAATGATAATCAAAGAAAACAATCTGATTTGTGGTACCTTAAATCATATTTTTTGTTGTTGTTATGTGCCATCGAATCAGCCCCGACTCATAGCGACCCCTCCTTGGGTTGCCCGAGGCAGTATCACTATGGAAGTAGATTGCCCAACCAGATAGTAATGTTCAAGTCACAGAACCATGGAGACCTTTTCACAGCTGATCAAACTGAGGCCTAGGGCATGTGACTTGCCCAAGGCTATGTAGCTAGTTGGAGCCATTGAGACTAGATCTATCCCAAAGCACATCAGTTGAGCTCAGAACACAAAAGAGAAAAGTTAGCCTTCTGATAGTTGATATCCATGAGCAAAGGTGATTGCTGACAACTCTTGTTTGTTTCATGAGCCACTGTCAGCTATTAACAGTATTGTCTGGAGTTAGAGAACTCAGATATTGAGTATCTTGACCATTACCTACTGATTCTGTGAACTACCTAATTTCTATTTCCCCAAATCTTGACATCGTTAGAGAGGAAGTAAAGCAAAACTTTGATAAATGACCTGCATATGGAATTGAGTTTTCTATAACCTGTGCCAGTGCCTCTCCAGAAGGGCTGGTCTGATCACATGAAGCCAGAAGGATGGACCTCAGCTGGTCTGGATGTGTTCCTTAACGGAGACAGGGATGTTTTCAGAGCAAAATGAATTTTTGTGTAGTCCGGCATTTTGGTGCAACAGCCTGTTTCATTTAACTTTTTTAACTTCTGGCCGAGATGTGCATAGGTCCTAAACCCAGAGGACAGATGGTTTCGTATTGCTTTAAGCACTGGAAAACTTTAATGATGACTTATTTTTTAGTAAGACGTTCAGTGAGGGATATTCAGGGTAGGTATATTTTTGGTGCCACAAATTTTTTGTATTGTTGACATATTTAAAGTAGCTTTGTAAGTGGATTTAAAGAAAGCAAGCTCAAAGCACTAAAGTTTTGATCAAATTCAAAAGAATTTTGACAAAAATGCAGTTTTAAGATAGCAAGCATTCTTCAAACTCGTTGTGCAATGAGTTACTCAAATTACCTTTACTCTAGAGAAGATTAGTCATCAGACTATAAATGTCCACTTAAAAAGACAAGTCACAAAACTGATCAATTAGTGACTCTAAACAATAATTCACTTGATGAATTGTATATATAAAATTCTAACCGCTTTTACTTTTTAACATTTTAGGAACTTTATTTTCCATAAGCCTCTATTTTTAGTTATCCAAAGTTACTTTTTTTGTCCAGTTCTCTTAGCCTTTTCAAAAAAAATCAGGAATGAGAAACTTGGATAAAACAGGTCATGTATACAGAGAAAGTAATCCAAAAGTTATCATTTAAGAGGATTTAATAGTCTCAATTAAGGAAAAGAAACACTATGCGACCATAATATCAGTATATTTTAAAGAAGGTTTAAAATGAAATTGAAATTAAATGGATTCATAAAATTGCTATTTAAGTACAGTATTTCCTTTTGGCAGTTGGAGCATGATTCCCCAAACAGCTCTTGCATTTCATTTCACTTTGCTGGATTAGAATCTTTACTTTGTAGTTAGTGGTGATGTGCAAAGCCATCTTCTCCCTCCTCCATCAATCTTCTGCATCTGCTTTTGAGCATGGCAAAGCACTTTGATCTTGCCATAATGTTGCTCCACACCACTAGTCTGTATTTACTAATGGGCAGTTTAAGCTCACCTGCTCTCCAATTGAGGAAGACCAAGTACCTCCTCCCTGCCATCACCAGGAACATAGTAAAATTAATGTGTACAATTTGTATCTGCTGTGAATGGCATGGCCAGTAAGCATAGCGATGTCTGAATAAGGAACAATGTTGGCATTACATTTTATTAAATAAGAGAGAAGGCCTATGTGCTGTTTGGAATGTCATTTAGATCTCTTGGCCCCTTTTGGAGAGTGTAGGTGAGGATACTCTCTGATAAAATGCAGCCACAAGTTTTCTGAATTCTTTCAGGCTGTAAGGTCTACTCTGATGGACAGAATGATTAGAAACTGGATTCCTCATTCTTCTTACACCTTTACATTTCACACATGTTGAAAGAGAAATAGGTAAAAGTTATGAGGGAGATTTAATTTCCCAATCTTATTGAGTAGATTCAGCAAAAATAGTCACTTAATTTTACCAGTGCCTGTTGAAGGCCCTAGAATAAACAGTAGGTCAACAAGAATAACTCCTTTTTGCAGATTTAGCTTATAGCCTAATCAACCTGTAAATATAACTATAGACACACGTTCTGAGCACCAACTCACTATTTGGTGCCACATTTTCATTTTTCTTATTGTTAGTTTTTAAGATTTTTATAGTGTTGCTTTATATATATATCTACATAACTAATGAATTTAATTTTGAAGGAGAGTTAGAGAAAGTTTAAGTTTTTCCAACATGTATTCAGCCTGCCTAGTTATGTTCTAAACTGACACTGAAGCATGACAAGGTATAGATTATAGTCCGTAAGTATTCTTTACAGTTCACAGTTTAAGAACAAATTTAACTTTATATACAAATAAAAATTAATTGCAAACTAATTATATTTAGTTGTTGCTGTAGCAACAAAACTACAACATGGCTACCTTTAGGCACATTGTGTGTGTGTGTGTGTGTGTGTGAAAATTTTACTTGTAAACTCTATGTGCTTTGTGACAATATGAGCTTGTAGAACAGCTCAAAACTCTCAACACAGATATGTTTGACTTTTTTTTTTTTTAATCTCAAAGTCCCATGAAAGCTGAATTTGTGTCCTTGTGTGACTTTTTGGTCAAAAAGTTTACAACACATGGATTCTAGAGTAAGGTTTTATTGCTTATAGAATGTGTTGTGTAGATAGGGTTATTCCACAGTATTTAGACTTCCAACACAGTCGTTGCATTTATAATACATTACGTGGCCTTTTCTTCATGTACTTATTTATTCAGAGTTACCCTACTCAAGTGGCATAGCTATAGCTGCAAAAATTCTGTTTTCTGGAAATATGTTTATACAAATACGTCTAAATGAAGATTAAAGCATAGTTTGAAATGAATTCCTATCTATAAGACCATGCCAAAAGATACTGTGGAATGACCCCTTAACAGTGTTTAAGAGACGTATGCTGCAGTTAACTGATTGTCTCAGTTAGGGTGCGAATGTGTGAGACACATCTTTTTTGCACTTATGTACATAGCCCATGAAAGCAATTCTTGGAGCT